CTAAACTAAAATCTACAACAGAAGCCACCTGTCTATCCTTAGAGACCGACAATTGCATCTCTCTTTGACGTAAAGCGATACAATAGGAAGGCGATAGTGAAAAGTAAAAGGAATAAGGCTACAGAACGGCTGTCCTTTTCAATAATTATACTAATGTGTTGTGGGTTTCCTTGGGGGGTTTTTTCGTTCATTCTCCGTGCCATTTCTCTCAACAAATAATAACGTGTCTTCCTTTCCTTTGTGCTTCAATCTCCAAGCCCTTAGAAGTGTTCTCTTCGAAATTAGAAAATGTAGTCAAAGCTTGCAGGCTTGAAGTAAAGGATAAAAAGATACGTTACGTCAATATTTGATACAGAATCTATTATAATATTATTTCGATGGCCAGCTGTTAAGAAGAACTAAACCCAAATTTAATAATTTTTATTGCAGTTTCCACATCTGCGGTATCAGTTGCATAATGTGTTCCAGAAACACTCTGTCCAAATTTAAATTCTATATATAAAAAAAGAAAGAACATAGTCATTATTTCGCTACTATAAATATACAAAGTTTTATCTGACATTTCTGGCTGTTTTGAGGTACTAGGACCATGAGGTCACAAACCAAATCATGTTCTTACGGAGTCGGTGACACGATATTCAAAGAATTGCATTCCAAAAATAGCTTGACAATTTTCGAAACTTACAATTTCTTACGTCACATTTCTCAAAACTTGGTACTGAGCAGATAGAACTTTGTAATTCTAGGGTAGCGATTTGAGTACAATTTGCGAAAGGATGAAACAGATAAATATCCTTCCTAACAAACAAACAAAAAATCTCTTATGGGGCATAGAACAGTTGAACAGCGTGCCGGCAGTAGGTGACTCTTCTTACCCACACTGGCACAGGCACCAAGGCCAACAAGAGCCGCGGTAATGACGATCAGCTGAGAGAACATTATGTCAACAAGACCCACACAGTCGCTATGCTGAGTATTGTTAAAAATCTGAATTATATAGGCACCTACACTTTTGATCTTAAGCATGTGACCGACCCCCTTCGAATCTAGCTGCCCCCATTATCAAAATCAATGGGAAGGGAGGGGATGGAGAGGTGAAGAAGAATTTTGATTAAAAATGAGCTTTCCACTCCACGTCCCAAACCATTAATTTGACCTTCAGCATACTTTCTTTTCGGACGAAAAGGTAAACAATTTTTACAACGGCACGATAAGTTTTTTTTTAAAGCTCAAATGAGGACGAGGACATTACCAGAAAGAAAAAATATATGTCTGGGTCCAAACATTTGACATATGCAGAGCCAGCAAACGCCATATGGCATCGTCATGCAACTTCTGTAACAAAAAGTTTTTGGGTTTGTTTGTTTGTTTGTTTTTTGTTTTTTTTCTCTCGAGTGCCCCCTGAACATCAATGTGTCGCTATTTTCTATATTTTAAATTTAGTTACTTCAATCCAACGGTATAAAAAGACCCAACGAATTTCTGTTCTTTTCTGTGATTTGGGGGGGGGGGGGAATGAATGTGAGAATACTAACACTAGAAAATGCTATTTTCGGCATCTTGCAAAACGGGAGCAGTTTTTCTGCACATGCAAAATGCTTCACGATGTCGCCTTGCTATTGTGAAAAGGTATTTTCTTTATCTTCAAATGTTTTCTTAAAGTGGCGTGCCAGTTTTTGAGTCAGTAACCTTTCTAGCGTGTTGGCTTTGAGTTTTTATTTTATTCTGCATAGCTACTTGAAAGACCTTATCAATTTGTCTTTTTTTTTCTTTGAGTAAAGAGAAACACGTCGACACAATAATAGTCTTTCAGTTTGGGAAAAAAAGCAAGACAGACAGATAGAAACAACAGAGGGATAGTAAAGAAGTAGGACCTACCAGAGGCGCCCTCCAACCATCCGCTCATTGTGTCTGAAGCAACTGATAATTTTTTTTTAGGAAATACGCCCGCTGTTTTCCCGCTAATTTTTGTTGCTGTAAACTTTATCTAATACTGTATATAATTTGTATTTCGTTTCATATAATTTTTTGTAATTCCAGTGTTCAGTCTGACTTCCTGTGTACATGTCAGTCTATCGTCTGATTCCCTGCCTGTGCCTTTATCAGACTACATAATCGAAACTGTAGCCTAGTGGTTAGGCCACCAGGCCCACAATCGTGATATCGCCTCAGCTCGCTCCGTCCGACGTTGTGCCCTTGGGAAATGTACTTTACCCGACTTTCTATTTGGCTCGGTCCTTTTGGAGATGGACGCTAAACTCAGAGACCCCGCCTCTTAGACAACCTAATAGTGTGGACAGGGGTGTTACACCTTTATCTGTTCACTACTTCACAGTCAGTCGGAACTATGGCAACAGCTACTTGTCTGAGACAATCACCTGCACCAGCAACAACTGTGGAATGCTGTGTCTTGTTCAAATTCGGAGCAGCCCGACTTTTAACGATCTAAACTTTGCCTTATAAGGGCACCAAACATGAACAATCATAGTGATTTCACGCCCTTCTAGTGTCTTTTTTTTTGGGGGGGGGGGGACTCGTAACGCCCCCATCAACACAATTTTGATAATTAAGGAGGCAGATTTCAACCTTGGTTGTCAAGGTCAACTCGAGCTGAGAGGTATACAACGTCCTAGTAGAAAGACTGTGATATTCGATAAAAATCTTTATCCCCTCACTGGAACCAGCCTTAATTCTTCTCCATCCAACTCCTGCACCACAGACGCCAATCCGCTTTCATGTAAAGGGGAGGGGGGGGGGTGGTATGTTTTGCTAAAACCAACCCACTCTTTTTATGAATGTTAGTTAGCCAGATAAATAAACGTTTTATTCCTGTTAAGGTGTATGACAACTGTTACAACAGGCATCTTGGGATAGTTTTTAGAGCAGCAGGAGTGGAAAATCTCTTTCTTAGTCGGAGTGTCCCTTCTGTTCTTCCAAACGCGTAAGATTTCGGAAATTCTAAAACGAACTGCGAATTGGTTCCATAGCAGAGAACACAGTCCTTTTCTTTGTTGTAGAGAAGTTGTTTTGTTTATTGCTGTGGGGTTTTTTTTGTTTTTTAAAAACTTTTTTGTCAGATGTAATCAACGTTGAATGCCCTATACACACACACACAAAAAGAAAATGTCTATCAATATGTATGCAGGTTCGTGACTTGTTGAAGCTGAAGAAAAAATCCAGGACAGGTGCATCTTACAAAAATCTCACTCAGAAAAAGAAAAGAAAAGAAAAGCAAGTTTTAATCTGGAACTACCGGCGTCCATTCCATGGGGACTCAGTGGGGACTTTGTTGAGTGGAAATACTGGGCACTAGAGGATGAGGTCGAGAGGGGTTCTAGTGACATGGAGATCACGAGTGAACGTCTGGGAAGTTTCCTGCCTGCACATTGCGTGGTGCGCACGGTGCGCACGGTGCGCATGATACGCAGGTTGCAAGAGGCACGCTAAACCTGCTTTTTTTCGGCAAGAGCTTTAACCCTATCTGTACGCCCTGGGGTCATGTTGTACCCCCGGGTTTGTATTCTTCACATCTTAGAATACTTCTAGTACGAGGATTTCTTCATAACTTTCAGTATTTCTCAAAAAATCATTTTGAAAGACTGCTATGCAAAGTATAATGGATCAGATTAGCGAGTAAGTTTTCTCTTTTGAAAATGATGTCCCAGAGTTCCCTACGTCCTATGGATACGACAGTAAAACACGACGTACGGATAGGGTTAAAACGTGCTGTGCCCAGAAAGCAACATTTTTTTCTACCAAGAGACAAAAAAACCTGCATTCTTTTCATTCTTTTAACAGTATTATAAACATTGTGCAGTTTGTTCCCTTGCTTGTTTTAATATTTAGAATTCTAATTTTAACCAAATATTTCTAGAAAACATGCAACCGATACAGAAAAATACATTGCATTAAACGACTTTCTGTTAAAAATGCTTAAAATATTTTATCAGCTGGGAGACAAATAATTTTCTAAAGGTTTTATTTTTCAGAGAGCCGGTTCTGTAGGCCCGGACACTTTGATATTGCAATCGTATATAGTTGTTGTCGAAAACGCCCCAAAAAGGAGGGGGAGAGGAAAGGGGAAGGGGGGACTCAATCGCATTCAAGGTCACTAAGACGTAAGAGAATTGAATGCTCGATTGCGCTGTTCAAAAACCATTTTGGTTGACATTTTTTTTTAAAATTCCCAACTACAGACAAATGTTTTTGTCAATATTTGCACATTGATTGCCGAAAGACACAATTATTCTTCCTTTTTTTTTCAAAAATTTCTTTTGAGGCTTGGAAGATCGACAGCAGCAAGGGTAGCTCTCAAGAACTTTTGGGCGATGCCTTTTTTAGTTAGGGTTTTTTTTTTTTTTTGTTCCCTTCTGTCCTCTGGTTATCAATGACGTCATATTCAACACCCTGAATCAACAGGGGGGCGACCGCAACATGCATATGCATAGTGCAGTGTGCAAAAGCACTTGAGATAACATTATCAAATTCATTTTCTGTGCAACACAGTGCGGGTCTTGACAGATTCGCCAAGACAACAAATAAACTTTTGCTAAAGTTTCTATGTACCATTGTCTGCTCTGAGGAACTTGTCTTTGAAACAGAAATCAAGCAATACTCTTCTTCCTTAACCCTGCATGTACCTCACGTACTGCACGTTCTTTTTGGTTGGTGGTTGGCGGAAGCTCTGGTGTAGTTTGCTCCTTCTTTTCTTAACTAACATCTATCATTCGTATCTTTCCTTCTTTAAACAGTGCGTTGTTCTCTTGTACCCGCCACCCTGCCACAATATTATGCCGAAAGCGCAGGAAGTTGTCTCACTTACAAGGTAATCCCCAATTTCGGGATCGGATGCTGGAACAACTTTACTTTTTACCTGCCGACATGCTAGAGATACCAGAGGATTGAAAAGGGTTTCTAAAAAATAAAAAGTAAAGTTATTATCTTGTGACACCTCTACTCTTCGACATTGTTATGTCATTTTTGTGCTGAAAGTACCTTAGAACTCTTACGAAAACTAAAACTTAAGTATGAAGATTCTAAGAACATTTCTTTTCAACGTAGCCAGTCAATGATTTCCAATAGCTCTGTGTGCACATGGCGCTAATTCCAGGGATGCCGATGATGGTTTCTGCATCATATTATGTTGATTGGGTTTTTACAAATGAGTGTGGGTGATTTTCACCCTCCCATCGACAAAATTTAGATCTTTCAGGAGGCTGGTTTTCGACCCTGCCTGTCAGTTGCAGGGTCAACCCGGGTTGAGAGTGACACAGTATCACAGCAGAAATATCGAGATGCTTGATTTTTAAAATATATATTATATGTGTCACTTCGCGGTGGGATCAGGCGCTCGTCAATTTTTGGACATGTGGAGTTATTGGTATCATTTAAAAGCTTATTCATTTGCCTTGCTTTGAAAGACAAAAATACCCCTCTGTGTTTAATAGAAATAAAGATATTTGCGATTGAAGGAGGTGGGGTCGCCTGGTTTCAGTGATAAAATCTGCGAGAAAATGGTTGCCAATGTTCGGTAACTTTAATAGCATGAGAGTCCTTTAAAACGGAAAAATTACGTATTTTGTGCATTTAATCAACTGTTTTCAGTCCCATTTGCATCGAAATGTGTTGTTTTTTAATATGGATATAAAAGCTGTTGAGCCAAAAAACAAAAATTAGAAAAAATTGCCAAACTGGAGGGAAAATGTCGATGTGTTCTATAGTGTAAAGCGCATAGAGCCTGCTGATGAGCGGGGATATGCTCTATACAAATGCTATCTATTATTATTATTATTATTATTATTATTATTATTATTATTATTATTCTATTCCATTATTTGGACGAGCGCCTGATTTCACCATTATGCCCCACATATATCCTCAAGCGAGAATAAAACTCGGGTCCCCTGTGTGGCAACCGCAAAACGCCTAACTGCTACACCAACACGACTGGGTTTTATTCCTCCAGATAAAACACCGACAAAAAAGAGTATCTGTGATTTTTTTTTAAACCTCGTCTATGTGAAACTTCACGTGCGTCTAGATCGCATGTTTGGGGCGTGGTGCTTGTCCTGTGTCGGAGCATACGAAGGTCAAGTTGAGGGTCACCAAATGGTTTTTTTTTAATGTTTGTTTGGCAATTGGTTTTTTTCTTCTTTTATTCTGTTCAAAGTATGGCTGGATAGGTGAGAAAAAGTCAACGGGGTCCAGACATTTAGTGTGTGTATACTACACACTGAATACGTGTAATTTAAAGATAATCAATCGAATTATTTATAAAAGCACACAATGCAAATGTAAGGTATCCAGATAAAATTAAAAAGTTCTCAGATTTTG